GCCCAGGCGGGTCTTGAACCCGCGGGCTCAGGCAATCCACTCACCTCAGCCTCCCAAAGGCGCGGTATTACAGGCTGAGCCACCGAGCCCGGCTTCCAGTCTTAATATTTAAAATCTGTCTTCCTTAGGTCAGGTGCGGTGGCTCAAGTCTGCAATCCCAGCACTTTGGGAGGCCAAGGCAAGAGAATTGCCTGAGTCTAGGGGTTCGAGGCCAGCCTGCGCAACTTAGCGAGACTTCGTCTCTACAATAAATCAATAAAAAATTTAGCTGGGCATGGTGGCACTTGCCTGTAGTTCCAGCTATTTGGAAGGCTGAGGTGGAAGGATCACCTGAGCCCAGTAGGTCGAGTATGCGGTGACCGTGAGCATGTCACTACACTCCAGCCTGGGTGAGAGTGAGACTCCAACTCAAAAAATAAATAAAATAAAATCTGTCCTCCGAGTGACCTTTCTGGAAACACATTCCTGATCACATACCACTCTAAGGCTGCTTCAGGGCTTCCCCTCTATACACAGGATGACTTCCAGGCTCCTTAGCGAGGTAAACAAGGCCCCTTAAAGGCTGCCATCTCCACCCTTATATTCCACCACTCCCTGCTTTCACCTGACCCTCTTAGAATAGGAACATAGGAATATTTCTACTCCTGCAGTTCCATATCCCAGTACCTACCTGAGACTGTTCACTCTTGGAAGACCCACCATTGCCTTCTTCTCCATACACCAGTTAAATAAACCCTTTCGTTAAATCCTTACTCTGGACTTAAAACAATTTACCATGCTGCTGTACCCCATTAGTTCAGAGATTCTCACTCAGAGAATGGTGAACTAATCCTGACACACACAACCTGCCACTTGTCTATGGCTGTACTTCCCTCTTGTGGCCATCCCTTTCCTGTTCAAAGCTGATTCTCTGGCCTCCCTTGATCCCTTGGTTATTTCCCTCCATCAAGCAGGGAAGTTCTCTTCTGTATACCAGTTCCTGATAGGGTATAGGACAGTGCTCCCCAAGCTGCCCAGAGCCTAAGAATCATCTAGGCTATTAATTCCCAGGTCTTTTCCCTTCAGAGGCTGACTCAGCAGGATTGAGGTTGGGCCCAAGAATCTGGATTTTTGTTTTTATTTTTTCTTTTACCTCAGAGTCACCAAACAGTTTCTGTTTGTCTTTTCTTTTTTTTTTTTTTGAGTTGGAGTCTCACTCTGTCACCCAGACTGGAGTGCAGTGGCCACCGCAGTCTCGACCTGCTGGGTTCCGAGGATCCTTCCGCCTCAGCCTTCCAAGTAGCTGGAATTACAGGCATGCGCTACCACATCTGGCTGATTTTTTTGATTTATTGTAGAGATGAGGTCTTGCTGCCCAGGCGAGTCTCGAACCCGTGGGCTCAGGTAATCCACTCACCTCAGCCTCCCAAAGGCACAGGATTATAGGCTGAGCTACCGAGCCCAGCTCTTTTCTTTTTTTGAGTTAGAGTCTCACTCTGTTACCCAGGTTGGAGTGCAGTGGCCCGGTCATGGCCACCACAGCCTCAACCTGCTGGGCTCAGATAATCCTTCCACCTCAGCCTTCTAAGTAGCTGGAACTACAGGTGTGAACTGCCATGCCCTGCTAATTTTGATTTATTGTAGAGACGAGGTCTTGCCAATTTGCCCAGGCTGGTCTCAAACCCCTGGCAATCCTCTCACCTACACCTTCCAAAGTGCTGGGATTACAGGCATGAGCCACTGTGCCCAGCTAGAAATATGTATTTTTAACAAGCACCTCAGATGATCCTTTTGAGATATACTACCTTGGTTGTATAAGGTTTTAACTCTGAGTCTCACATTTCTCATATATCAAATGAGAAAATAACATCCGTCTCTGAGGACTAGAGGTAATACCAAAAACAAACAAACACCTAGTAAGTATGTTAAAACATATTTTTAGATGAGGCGCAGTGGCTCATGCCTGTAATCCCAGCATTTTGGGAGGACGAGGCGGGAGAACTTCTTGAACCCAGGAGTTTGAGACCAACCAGAACACAGTGAGAACTCACCCCTACAAAAATAAAAATAAAAAACATTAGCCTGGTGTGGTAGCGCACACCTGTAGTCTTAGCTACTTGGGAGGCTGAGAAGTGTGGATCACTTGAGTCTAGGAGATGGAGGCTTTGGTGAGATGTGATTATTCCACGATACTCCAGGCTGGGTGATGGAGTGAGACCCTGGTTCAAAAAACAAACAACAAAAACTCATAACTAGGCTCGGTGGCTCAGCCTGTAATCCCGTGCCTTTGGGAGGCTGAAGTGAGTGGATTGCCTGAGCCCACGGGTTCGAGACCCACCTGGGCAACTTGGCGAGACCTCATTTCTATAATAAAACAAAAAATTAGCCGGGCGTGGTAGCGCGTGCCTGTAGTTCCAGCTACTTGGAAGGCTGAGGCGGAAGGATCGCCGGAGCCCAG